GGTGTGGGGCCCCGAGCCAGTGGCGGGAGCTCCTAGTCCTGCGCTGGAGGGGAAGGATGGAGCAGGGGGGCCCTTGAGCGACACTCAGCAGCTTCGGGGCGTCTGTTAAGGGGGGGGGGAAGGTACGAACTGTCCCTGATTAGCTCCCCCCCGCCACCGGTCTGCTGTGTCCCAATGGGAGGTGCATCAGCCAGTGATATCGCATCCTGCAGCAGGGCTGGGGGTGGAGACCCCCACCAAGGGCCACAGCTGCTGCAGCTCTGGCCCAGAGGAGGTAGCAGGGTACCAAGGCACAGACGGGGCTTGACTCTCCAGCTACCACTGGAACTGGTCCTGCTCTTCTCTTCAGAGACAGAGCAGGGCCTACCATGGGCAATGCACGCACCCCAGCTTTCCCCCACAAACCACATCAACCTAACCCCACTAGAGTGAGAGAACATTTGCAGTCACTGCTGCTAAAACGGACAGTCCCTGCTTTTAACTAGATTAGCCATGAGAGCCCAGCAGGGGCAACATCACAGCAAAGACAAGGACTGAAGCCTCATGGCTGAGACCCCTTAGGCAGAGAGGTTATACCACTGCAGCCAGGAATGTTGGTCCAGGACAGAGGGGCTGTTGTCATGTGTTTTAGAGAGAACATTTGCAGTCACTGCTGCTAAAACGGACAGTCCCTGCTTTTAACTAGATTAGCCATGAGAGCCCAGCAGGGGCAACATCACAGCAAAGACAAGGACTGAAGCCTCATGGCTGAGACCCCTTAGGCAGAGAGGTTATACCACTGCAGCCAGGAATGTTGGTCCAGGACAGAGGGGCTGTTGTCATGTGTTTTAAAAGAAAGTCTCTTCCCAAGGCTGACTGGCAGGGTGGCAACAGCCCTGGGTGTATTATTAAAGAATCCTGCTAAAGTGCAAAGTGGGGCAAGCTGCCCATGATAAGCGTTAATATTAATAGAAAGTTTTATCTTTTCCTCACCTCCACTCCTCTACCTTGCACGACAGGCCAGACAAATCAAGAGAACTGATAAGTGCACAAATTACACCTTTCCCTTAGGAGCGACAGTAGCAAGGCGCCAACTGAGAACACAGCTCAGTGTGCTAGGTACCTTACAAAACACAATGCATGAAACAGTTCCTGTCCAGCTGGGTTTACAATCTAAACAGATGCCGGGCAGGGACAGAGACTTGCATAGGTCCCAGAGCTGAGATGAGACCCAAAGTCTCCTGGATTGAAAGGGAGTCCCATACTTACTACAGGGCAGGGCTGCTCACCCACCTGAGAAAGCCACCTACCACTGGAGAATCCAACCGGCTGCAGCCAGCCACAAGCAGAGGTGCTATCAGGGACAGAAATGAGGTGATTAAAATCTAAAGGCAGTACAGCAAACTGGGCAGGAAGTGATAGTGCTCTAATGATTAGCATCCCCCAGAACATGTGCCTTCCTTGCATCCCCATGATACTTGTGATGCAGCAGCCACGCTCACATTCTTTACCCTTAAGGAAGCTCTAGTTCTAGGAGGATTATGACACAAGCTCTCAGAGCTGCCACCCAGCAAGGTTCAGGGCCACGCTGGGTCAGAATTCCTCTCCGCAGAATAAGTGGCATTTGTATGCATTCAGCCACTAGGCCCAGAAGCTGTACAAGTTGGGAGTCCTCGGATGGGGCTCAGCTCTTAGAGGGTTCTACAACAGAGCTCCCACAGCGATGCAGGGCAAAACCAGACAGGGACAACATTTACAAATGAGGGCTACCAGCCAGTTGCAGGTCAGCTGTCCGTTCTGTTGCATACATGGCAGGCTCTTGGCATTCTCTGCCTTGCAGGCAGCTTGACTGCAAACTTCAGGCCTGCTGCAGCCTCGGGTTTTGCCCTCATTCCCTCCCCCCTGAGAAGCCCACAGCACCTCGCAGGCCCAGAATACCAACAAAGGGAGAAATCCCCCAGCAGAGAAATGGGGAAAACCAAGAAACTCTAAAGCAGCCTTTCAAACATCTATAGGCACCCCCATTTTCAGAAGGGTTGAGCCGCTGCATTTCCCATCCAAATCCACGGGGTCGGGACACTCAGTATGACGGTTCCCCTTCCTGCTCTATGAAATTGGCTTCTGAATACAAATATGCACAACTCAAGAGATGCTTTGGACAATGTAGCTCACGTAACCTATCAATTTTAATGTTAGGCTGCTGGATCTGTATATCCTATTTTGGTACATATATCAGTCTTGTATGTAAAGTTAGAAATATGAAGTATGGGACTGTTCAAAGTTTCCAGTGTGCTAATGAGAGCTATTACTGTCCTCCCCACCCCCAAGCCTTAACAACTGGGTGATCAATTTACAGTAGACTTCCGATAATCCGGAACCTTTGGGACCTAGGTGGTGCTGGATTATCGGATATGCCGGACTATCAGGAGGTACTATAAGATGGTTTTATATATATACACTGTATACATTATATACTGTATATAAAGTGTTCTTAACCCTTTTTATTGTACATACTGTATACAGTATACTGTGATGTTTTAGTTTTTTTAACCCTTTTTGCTCAGTTCAGCTGCTGCCGCTACTGCCTTGTGACTCGTTTTTTGCCGAAGCTCACTCACTAGGCTCTTGCCATTTTGATGACGGACTATCAGGAGTGCCGTACAATTGGATGCTGGACTATTGGAGTTTTACTGTAACTTGTAAACAGCCTTGTTGTTCTGTAAGTCCAAAGGTGATTAGACAAGACGTGATCATATCACCTGACACTGGGATTCCATTTTGACCAGGTAATTTTCCATGAAAGGTGGAATAGAGAACAAAGGATTCTAGCCCCATTGGAAAGACTATTTAAGCAAGGGGAAGTTACCAGGGCTTTGGCTGGCATGGTGGCATACACAAAAAGAGGGCTGGATACCTGGATCAGGGTACAAGAGTCTCTGAGCGGAAGATTAAGGCTAAAACAAGAATAGCTCTTTAAGTAAAAATATGGTTGCAGTAAGTTTTAGTCTGTTAGAATGAGCTCTGTGTTTTCATTTCAATTTTGTATCTAACTTTGATCTGTTTTTACTTGCAACCACTTAAACCCTATTGTGCTTAATAAAAAGCACTCGTTTTACTATCAAACCCAGCATAAATAATTACCACCTGGGGGGGGAGCAACCAGGGATGCATCTCTCTTTCATTGATAAAGGGGGCCTGCCTGAACGAGAAAGATGGATTTATTTGGGAATTTGAGCACTTTTGGGGGGTTGGTTTCTGGGTGCTTAGCCCTAGAATGGCATCCTCCCAGAGCTCAACTGGTCCAGCGTCTGTGTTGCGCTTCAGGGGAGCAGTAGCTCCAACTCTGTGCTTTGTCTGGGGGAGACCAGAGGATCTGCCCCAGCAGGACAGGGTGGTGGGGAGAACAAGGCGGCGGGCGGTAGTGGTATGATCAGCACATCCGGGAACAATCCACCGGGGTCTTCTGTGACCTCACCCCATCACAGTCGGCACCTCTGAAAAATAATCCCCCCAGCCCAGGCACTCCAAGTCAGAGGTCACTGTTGCCTGTCTGGGGGAAAGTAAGGATGGCAGCTGAGGAGCCACACAGAACAGGGCATGATACTTGGCACCAGGGGCAGATGAGAGTTTTGCGGGGCCCAGGGCAGCACAATTTCGTGCATGCGCCACGGCCACAGCTGACAGGTAGGAGTGCGTGCACGGGGCCTATTGAAGTGCGGGGCCTGCGACAGCCACCCCGCTTGCCCTGCCCTATATTCGCCGCTGCTTGGTGCTCTTAGCACGCTATGAGGAAATGGCTCAGAGCATGTCAGGAAAGGCAGGTCTGGGTCACCCCCCGTGGGCTGTGAAAACCCAGGCCGGTGAAAACCTGCCTGCACGTGATTGCTCCATCTAGGTTTCACTTCAGCTGGGAGAGGGGGGATTCACAACCTGGCCACTGGATCCTCAGGCCCTCAAGACGCACCACCCGGAAAGAACCCAACACACTGCAGAGCACGGGGATTACTGTTTTAATAGTGAGGTTTTAAAGAATTGCATGTAGGAGAGACGGGAAGCAGCATACAGGAGGCAGCCCACGTCCGAGCTACAGTGCTCATCCGCTCAGGGAGAAGTCGCACCTTGAGAGATGGCTACAATCTTGAAGCAAAATGTAACCAGAAAAAAAAAACCAACCCCAAATCACACAATAAATTATACAAATCCAGCAACCATGCGGCCTCCACAGGTCAGGCCAGGTGCATTTCTCCAAATGGGCCATCGGATACTCGGGCTTTTCCATGCTGAGGAGTGGCTGCAATGAAAGAGACAAGAAACTGGAAGCTTTCTGCTCAGGGTGCTGCCGTCAAGAAGAAGTGGGGATTGGAAATAGGCCCATGGAAGGAAAAGCAAACAGCAGAGGTGGGAAGATGCACGCCGAGTTGCTTCACTCCACAAAACACATGGAGAGGAGTCCGCAATGCTTTGGACACAGATAAGGCACTGTGAGCATGAACGGAGAAAGTTTTTCCTTTTGTTTACGTCCAGCGGGTGGGTGTCTTTCGGCAGCCTCAGCGAGCCCCTCCCTCCTGCAGCCCTTCGGAGCTGCTCCCGGGGCAGCGCAAGACTCCAAGAAACAGGACTGTTTGGAATTCTGTTCCCAGCGGATGCCAAAGAGGACACAGCACAGTCTTGCTGGCTGGGGAATCCAAAGCGATCGTGCGCCTCTTGAGGGGCAGACTCCCCTCCTCTTTGTTGCAGAGTCTATTATTAGAGAAGCCCCCAGGCTCAAGGGCTCCATTTCAAGCGATCGGGAAAATCAAGCAAACCCCACGTCATGCTAAGCAAAGTTTTGGTCCAATTCTTGTCACCAGTCTTTTCTGGTGTGAAGTGGGTCAGGCTAGTTGAGGAAGCATCACGTTGGCATACGACGACATCCTCTGCACTTCCTTCTGCCTCTCTCCTCCACCCTAGCAATTCCATGCCTCCCTTCCGGGCTCCCAGTGAGCTGCCAAGAGCAGCACCCTTGGCTGAGTCACAGACCAGTTGGGCAGAACTGTCAGCTACTCCCCGAACCGCTACGAAGCTGGTTCCGTCAGTGGGGAGAAAAGGGCTGATGAGGGCCAAGATGGACAGACAGCACAGCAGGGCGATGCAGGAAACGCAGGAGGGTCTCAGAGGAGCAATGGAAGTACAACGCCACGCAGCAACATCGGAAACACCTAACAGCAAAGTGCTTTGGCCCAGAAGTAGCAATCTGAACAGACGGGGGCATCTTTATTGTTTTTATTTAAATGCAATTTCAAGCTTATTGGTTTTTATTTTTTCCCTTGAAAAGAACCCCCTCTGCTTCCAAAACAAGACTTACAGGGAGCAAATGTTACAGGGAAAGGCTTTTTTTTTTCCTCCTTTAAAAAAAAAAATTTATTTAAACAAAAATGCACAGTGCATTAACTTCTCTTCCCGCCAGCTAAGCTGGGCAGATATTTTTCCCTCCAGAACAAAAAACAAAACCACACCCCAACCCCTTTCCCCAAATTTCCTTTAACTGGGCAGCGGTCCTCAACATGAGTGCTGCCTAGTTCTAACGTAAAAAGGATACATTTCCATCATCATAGAAAAAGAGCAGTTTAAAGGTGAGGATTTTAGTATACTTGCAACAGGCCCACCTTTATCCTATATTACAAGCTTTTTACAACATACAAAATAGATCAGTAACTATGATTAATGTAACCCCCCTCCAGGTTAGAGAGTCAATATACAGAATCATCAATCTGGTACCAACAGGACAGAGTAGTGTATAAGGCAAAAACAGCAGCTAGATACTGGATGATTATTATTAGAAATCCTTCCGTGGAAGATGAACAGTCGTTAGCTAGTCTGGCCAAACGAGGCAATCTCCTCGTGAGAAATAGTGTGAAAACATCCCCTCTAACCACACAACCCACAGAACACGAGGACCCCAATCTCCCTCCACCCCCACCGATTAAAACCTATTTACCAGGGTGTCCATATTTTTTTTGCTTATTAACATTATAACAATTATCTTCTTCCTGTTAAAATTATGAATTTGGTCATTTAGCATTAAAACGAGAGCGCCCAGCAGGCCAGGAAGGGCTGTGCCACCCGCTGGGAGGGGGGCAGTGTTTCACAGGATCCCATCAGCGTGATTAAGTTGACCATTCCCAATACGGCAAGCTGGCGCACCATGGGCCACTAGCTACCATCCATCTCCTAACCAGGGGGTGAGCCGGAGACACTTGCAGCTGCTGTGACCAAGTTAAAAATCCAGGAATGATTAGTCTAGTCAAATTCTCCGCTGGGGGGGTGGGGGAGCTAGCAGCGCTCTATTTGTTACAATGATGTACTGAGGAAGAGCTGTGCAGCCATGCACAGCAACCGTAGGCAGAACACGGCCCTGGAACGGCAAAGAAAACTTTCAGCTCCCACCCACACAGCTGCTGCAGCCTCCCCGTTACAGCCACAGTTCAATCCCTGCTGGAATGGCTCTTCCGGCACACCTTGGGCTAGGATTTGCTCTGCCCAGGGGTCTGAGTTCCTGTGGGACAGGATGGTCCCCTTCGCTGTACCCCCGGGGGGATGGTAAGAGCAGTGTTTGGGAAAAGAACATTACTCACCCTGCCGTGTTAGCCGACCTGATCAGTGTATCGTGTTCACAGCCAATAGTGTTCAAGACATTTCGATTTAAAACCCTGCCCCTTTCCCTGCACTTCTTTCTCCAGCTCTGACCCCCCTCGCCCTGCCCTAGCATGGGGCACCACGCTGGGGTCTGGCCCCAAAGCCGTCACACGCTAGTCTGCTTTACTTAGAGGTCGCCCTACGTTATATTAACTTTATGGACCAGAAGAGTCTTTTTGCCCAGATCTTCAGAGAGGAGCAGGAAGCCTCCTTCCGGCCCGGCCTGCGGATCTGCAGCTAAGAAGCGGAGGAAGGGACTCACCCAGGTGCCTGCTGCCAAGTCACTGTGTCCAGGTATGAAATGCATAGATGGAGGTGCGAGTGGATTCATCCGGGTTTGTTTGTTCCTTGCAACAGTTGGAAAAAACAAAACAAAACACTGGGAGCGGCTCATGCAGGTACCTAGGGGCAGGGAGGCCGGGGAAAGTCCATTCAAGGGAAGGAGAGAAGGTCCATCTCCTCACCAAGGAACAACCAGACTGTGCAGCTGGACTTCACCTGGGGATGGGAGGCAGCGGCGGGGCCCCCCGGGTCGCTGCAAGGCAAGGAAGCCTGGTTAGTTTAACGCAGCAGGCCGCTCAGGAGAGCTTTGTGGCCAGATCACCCAGCTAGGAGGTCTCCTCACGGGCCGCCGCATCGAGTTTCGTTCCCCAGCCACCAACGCCTGCCAGGTCTGTGCATTCCCAGGCCACACCCCCCAGGTGCCCGGGGAATTCCCAAAGTGTGACACATCTGCAGCCTGAGCTCTGTGTCCAGCGACCACAGACCCAGCCACTGCCGCACAGGCAAATCCAGAGCCACCATGACCACTCCAAGCACTGGCCTCCGACTGCGCTTTGGAGCCTCTGCCAGGGGAGTGGCTGGGCAGGATACAGCAGCACCTGCTGGAGAATGAGGCTATTTTCGGGGGGTGGCAGGAGAGTCTAATATATTTCAACGGCCCCTGGTATGGAGAGTCCGAGGGCCTCCGGAATTAGTCTTAGGCAGCTACTTCTGCTCCAGACTTCAATGATCACCAGCTCCGAGTCCCGGGCTGCTTGTGTGGGGGAGGTTCACTCCCCTTCCCCCGGGGCAGAATGCCAGACACAGGCCTGTGGCTCCCCCGCCAAGGCCCTTTTGCCCCAGCTCTGGCACACAAGGGAGCAGAACAAGCCCCTTAGGGCTCCTCCCAGGCCCAGCACTGCTCAGGCGGCTCCACGGAGCCTACCCAGGTCCCACCACCCAGGGGATGCGAAGAGCCACTTGGCCCCAAATGAGCAATGGAGGAGCCCAGCGTGAAGCCCGGGCTTTTGCAGGAGCAGGTGAGATCAGGAGGCCAGAGTCCTGGAAGCTCCACACTGATGGAGACAGGTCTCTGGGGGCGAGTAGAAGGGACAATACGGTCCCAAGCCAAGAGCTTAAATCGAGGCACCTCCCACCACCCAGGGGATGCGAAGAGCCACTTGGCCCCAAATGAGCAATGGAGGAGCCCAGCGTGAAGCCCGGGCTTTTGCAGGAGCAGGTGAGATCAGGAGGCCAGAGTCCTGGAAGCTCCACACTGATGGAGACAGGTCTCTGGGGGCGAGTAGAAGGGACAATACGGTCCCAAGCCAAGAGCTTAAATCGAGGCACCTTTGGGTTTAGAGCCCAGGTGTGAATGGGGGGGGGGGGGGGGGGGGTGCCCCTGGGCTGGGAGAAGCCGAGCTGATAGAAAGACAAGGGCCAGGCGGGGGAAGCAACGCTCAGCAGCGCTTTACCCTTCCCCTCTGAGGCCATACGTGCCAGCCAGGCAGTTTAGCAGGGCAGGTGCCGGGGAGTCCTCCGCCAAGCAGACGCGGATATTTTAGCAGCATCGGCTAGTCTGTCACCTACCTCGGTTCGTTTTGCTGGGGTAGATTCTCTGGAAGTGTTTATACTCCTCTGGAGCGGGGAAGTCTTCGACGGGGTGAAACGAATATTTGGACTCAAAGTCATCTGAGAAGAGGGAAAAGGGTGAATCAACTATGGCAGCATGAGGGGGGGAAAGGTCAATGGGCCCTGAGTTCTGCATCGCGGGCTGCAAGTGGGAGTGCTATGGGACAGCCCGGAGAAGCTCTCCCTCCCGCACAGCTGGAGATGGAGACCCCAGGTTTTGCGGGGGGAGCACAGCTGAACAGAAGTGGCTAAAGCAAGACAGTACAAATGGACCAGAGAATTTTTCCCTTCACCGGTAACTTCCCACGTCTCCCTGGGCCATGTGACTAGCCGTGGGCCTACGAAGGCAGACGAGTCCCTAAACGGGGCTGAATTTCCGCTGGGACGTGACTGGGGCCCTTCCATTCAGCGAGCTAGCTGCAAAGCCGCTCGCTGGATTTTCGGAACAGAACCCAGGACAATCAGCCGGGGTGAATCCAGGAACTGACCACTCCGACCTCGATCCAGTCAACTCAGGTACCAGAGCGAGGCACGAGGAGTTTGCCCCACTCCCGCGTGTCCCTGCCTGGCACCGCTTAAGGCTGGCAGGTTTTCATTCAATAGCTAAGCCCAGTGCCCTGCAGGAGTGGGGATTCCTGAAGGTTTCCCATCCCTCTAGCTAGCATAGACATCACATCTAGGGAACACAGGGCTTCCCGCCACTCCCGAAAATTCATCCATTTTACCCTCCCTTGTCTCTAAAGGAGCAAGAATCCTACCAGAACAACTCTCAGAGGCCAGACCACCTGCAGCTAGAGACAGGAGGCCCTGGGGGGGTCAGAACCCTAAGGGAGGAGCAGAACTAGTAGGGTCCCACCCCAGAGCAGGGGGAGGGGGGGTTCAGCCCCATAAGAAGACCCTTGGGAAGAAAGCGCCTGACTGTTAACAGCAGGGCTGCTGTCTCTCTGGGCAGCACTGCACTGGAGCAGGGATGTCAAACATCGGTTAATTGAATAGTCGAGTAACCTCATGAAATTGTATCGGTTAGTCGACTATCTTATAGTCCCCGGGGGTGGAGCTGGTTCGCAAGGGGAGCCAGTTTAAAAATCAGCTCCCTTCGTGGACCAGCTGTCTGTCGCCTTATGCAGCTCCTTCTGAGAAAGAGGCAGCCATGCGGGGTGGCAGTGGCCCGTCAGGGGGGAGGGGAGGGTCTGAGCTCTCGGACCCAGCGCAAGCCAGAACTGAGCTGGGCTGCCTGCCCACCCGGCTCTTAATACACTTGAAACGCAGAGCCACAGCAGGGGCAGGTCCCAGACCCGTTGCAAGCCAGGACTGGGCCAGGCTGCTAACAAATGTACTGGCAGGGAGAGGGAAATGCAGATATTCTATAGCATTAGACAATAAGCTTTTGCTTGTCGTTAACTGACTCCTGTTACATCCCTACACTGGAGACAGGCCAGGAAGGCTCGCCCTGCCAGCACTGCGCTGTGCCCAGCCAAAATGATTGTTGAACTGCTGCAGAGTCAGCAGGGGGTGCTCACACATTGTTTAGGTAGGACCTACAAGAACAGCACACGCAGCGTGGGTAGGGACCGTTTGGAACCTGGCCTGCTTTGCCTAAGCAGGCCAACGCCGGTTTGGAGGCAGGTTCTCTCGGGGGGTCTCACGTCATCCACTCACCCAAGAAAGATCGCACGGTGGCGATGGAATCTCTGTGCCCATTTCTCACTGGTGGAGGCGGAGGCGGCGGCC